ACACACACACACACACACACACACACACACACACACACACACACACACACGGTGTAAAAAATGCTTAAATGGCAACTATGTATTGAAGACATTACTACAATCAGAGTTCTTAGGTGGATGTTCAATAATTGTCTCTCCACTAGATGCTTCTTCCCAATATATTTTTGCAATATTTACCTGAAGTTTTTTAATGACTGTTTCAATCTGTTCAGAAAAGTGAGTAGCAACCAGCTCTGCAGCTTTACAGGGCCTCAGGGATACAAGTTCCTAAAGGGAAAGGAAAAGATAAAATGATCTTTTATGTAAAGTTTAAATAGAATCTCCATAGATGTAAAGCATGATTATCTACTTCAGTATTTTCATGAGCTTCTATACTGCATTTCAGAAGACCTCAATGTAAGGTCTCAATTTAAAGGCACATTGAATTAGAAATATGCCAGGTAAAAAATTAGATTTTGATATAAAAGGTAACTCATGCTTAGAAAATGAAAGCACTAAAACTGTGGATTTAAGCCTTGATATCTACAGAATGAACAGAAGGAACAAAAGCTTTCCCAAATTTCCTGTCAGTGAATTTCACCCTTGAGCTTAAAGTAATAACTTGAAGCAATTAAAAAAAAAAAAGTATAGTTGCAATTTTTCCAGCTAAGAATTTGAAAATTTTACTCCTGATGCCTGACAGATTTTGAACAAGGAGTGTCTTAAACCAATTTAAGGTCACAAGTCTTAAATGAGACAAAGAGGTTGACCACTGTTTATTAACCATTTTCTGTCAAATTTAAGACTTCCAATCTGCCCTCTCCTTGAACTTTCCTAGACATTACTGGCTACTTCTCTTCTTGAAACTCTCTTCTAACTTGGTTTCTGTGACCTACTCTTCTATCCTTCCAATTGCATGTTTACATGGCTGAAATGCAAAGACCAACAACAGATCAACGTGGTAAATTCTCAAATAAAAATGAGACAAGTTACTGTGACTGCAACATTCATGATATATCTAATATTCCTGTATTAGTAGCTGCTCTTCAATAATAATGAACAGATACAAGTAATTGTAGTTTATACTACTTTTATAGAATACATCTCAAAAACAGAGAAGGCACAACTAATGAACATCACAAACAAAAAGGGGCTATTACTATCGGTCTGAAGATATTAAAAAGAAATTATTATGGATTAATTTATATCAAGAATTTGAAAATTTAGACAAAATGGATAAAAGTTCCTAGAAAATGTCATTTAATAAACCGACTTAACAATTAGAAAAACCTGCACTGATTTTTAACCACTAAGGAAATTGAGTGAATACTCAAAAGTTCTCTATGGAAAACTCCAGGTCCAAAGAGCTTCACTGGTGAGTTCTAGCAACCATTTAAGGAAGAAATAATGCCAACGTTAACTAACCTCTTACAGAGAATAGGAAACAAAACAAAACAAAACAAAACTTCAGCTCATTTTATGAGACTAGCAAAATCTTTGATATCCAAACTCAACAGGACAATGTAAGAAAGGAGTACTACACTGATACAAACATCCTAAATAAAAACAAGGTCCAACAATATTTAAAAAGGATAATATCAGGATCAAGTTACATTTATCCACAGAATTCAAGGCTAGTTTAACATCAGTAAGATTCACCATAACTATAGAATAAGAAAGAAGAGGTGAAAAAACTCATTTATGAAAAAACTGTTAACATACCGGAAAATAGAAGACTTCCATAAAAGTCCTTAAACACTGTATTTATATTGGAAATAAACATTTAAAAAAAAAAAACCATTAACTATAGCACTGTTATGATCAAAATATGAAATTCTGACAGTTAATCTAATGAAGAATAGAAAATCTCTATTGAAAAAATTATAAACCTTTACAGAAGCTCTTGAATAAAGGCTTATACCATATGGTCACAGACCGGAAGACTCAATATTGTAAAGATGCCAATTAAATTTAAAATAACTGAGAGATTCAGTGCAATCCCTGTCACTATCATAAGGATAAAAGAATTGTTTTGCTATGACCAGCTGATAATAAGATATATTTAAAAGTATAAAAGGTCGATTAAAAAAAAAATAAAAGTATAAAAGGTCGATAGGTGGGGAGGATGGCAGAGTAGGAGGACCCTAAGCTCACCACTTCCCACCAATACAACTAGGTAATACCTACATTAGTGTAAATTACCCAGAAAATGACCCGAAGACTGGCAGAACAAACTCTCCACAGCTAAATAGAGAGAAGAGACCCCACTGAAGCAGGAAGGAAGGGTGGAGACATGGTAGGGAGCTAAACGGACCAATGGGACCGTCCACAGGAGGGATGGACACCTTGGGCATGGAGAGGGGAGAGAAACAGACTCTTGGATCAGGAAGCCTACACGGGAAGATGAATCCCCATAACACGGCTTTGAAAACTTATAATCAGTGGGATTTTAAACATGGAACTTTGAAAATCAGCAGACTAGTGAGAGAGCCTGGTGGGTGAGAGGAGACTGAGTCTCCGCCCTTAAAGAGACGGCACAAAAAACAGTCCTGAGGAGATACAACATTAGCAGCATTAGTTTGAAAAATGCATACGGCATAGGGGAGGGAGATTTGTTTGCTAATCTCAGAGCATGTGCTGGAGGGGCAGGGATCCTTGGGAGACCTCTCTAGGAACAAAGGAGCTGGTGGGCACCATTTCCTTCCCCTGCTCCTCCCCCCGCCCCAGCATAAACACACAGCCACCTGCAGGAACCAGCACAGCACCCATACTCTCTAACTAACCTACATACACCACCACCACATCCCAGCTCTCTTGTGGACATGCCTCCTTCAGCCAGGTTTCCATTCCAGGTCCCTCCCACAGCAGACCACACAAACCTTGCTAACAGTATGCATCCTGCTCCAGGGCACTTCAACGAATCTGACCCCTCCAACCTAGCCTGCCTGGATCCCCAACAGCTGCAAGTTCCCTCTCGCCAGTGTGGACCTTGCCAGCACTGCGTGCCCCACTTCCGTAGTCTCCTGCAGTCCAGGGCTACCACATCTCTGGCAAACGCATGGTCTAACTCACCTCAAGACCAAGGTGGCCCCAGACTGACCCACTAACAATACAGGGAACAAACCCTGACCACAAAAGGCAAAGAGCTATTGCAGATAACTGGACTAAAAGCAAAGATAGCTCCACTACAATAGTAGGATGCATGCAACACCCATAGAAGACCCATTGAAGCACCAGGTACTGGTGAACAGGGGACATCATGCTGCAGGGCACTACAGGACCTCTTCTTCATAAGGCCACTACTTTCAACAGCAGGAGACATAGCTGACTCTCCTAACACCCAGAAGCAGACACAGAAAGTTCAACAAAATGAAGAGATAGAGGAATATGTCCCAAATGAAAGAACAGGACAAAAATCACAGCAAGAGAGCTAAATGAAAGAGATAATATGCCTAACAGAGAATTTAAATTAGTGGTCATAAAGATACTCACTGGACTTGAGAAGAGAGTGGAGGACCTCAGTAAGACTCTTAACAAAGAGAAAATATAAAAAAGAACAAAACAGAGATGAAGAACTCAATTACTGAAATTAAAAATATATTACATGAAATAAAAAGTAAACTAGGAGAAGCAGAAGAATAGACAAGTGACCTGGAGGACAGAGTAATGGAAAACAATCAAGCTGAATAGGACAGAGGGGGGAAAAAAGAAAACGGAAATAGGGAATTCAGCGATACCATCAAGTAGAAATTCACATTATGGGGATTCCAGAAGAAGAGAGAGAAAAGGGTGCAGATAATTTATCTGAAGAAATAATAGCCAAAAACTTCCCGATTCTGGGGATGGAAACAGAAATCCAGATCCAGGAGGCACAGAGAGCTCCCAAGATAATCAACCAAAAGAGGTCCTCACCAAGACACACAGTATTTAAAACGGCAAAAAGTACTGATAAAAAGAGAATTTTAAAAGCAGCAAGAGAAGACAGTTATTTATGAGGGAAACCACATAACACTATCACTGATTTTTCAGCTGTAACTTTGAAGGCCAAAAGACAGTGGTATGATATATTCAAAGGCTAAAAGAAAAAAAATACCTGCAGCCAAGAATACTCTAACCTGCAAGGCTACCATTCAGAATAGAAGGACATTATACGCAAACAATGAATCATGGAACACTACATCAAAAACTAATGATGTAATGTATGGTGATTAACATAACATAATAATGATAATAATAATAAAAAAGAATAGAAGGACAGATAAAAGTGTTTCTCAAACAAAAGTTAAAGGAATTCATCACCACTAAAACAGTCCCACAAGAAATGTTAAAGGGAACTCTTTGAGTGGAAAGAAAGACAGTAAATAAAAGTAGGAAATACAAAGGCATTAAAAATAAGTACATCTATAAAAATCAGTCAAGGCATTCACAAAATAAATGGATATAAAGTATGCCACCATATACACCTAAAACCTGGAAGGGAAAGGAGTAAAAAATGGGTTCAAACTTAAGTGCCCATCAACTTACTATACCCATAGGATGTTATATATAAACCTAAGGTAACCACAAATCAAATCCAGTAAAAGATATGCAAAAAAGAAAGAGTAAAGAATCCAAGTATACCACTAAACAAAGCCAGCAAACCATGAAAGAAGAGAACATGAGAGAAAGGAACAGAGAAAAACTACAAAAAGAACCACGAGATTAGTAACAAAACTGCAGTAAATACATACCTATCAATAATTACTTTGAATGCAAATGGACTAAATGCTTCAATCAAAGGACAAAGGGTGACAGAATGGATTAAAAAAACAAGACCCATCTATATGCTGCCTACAAGAGACTCATTCAGGACCTAAAGATGCATGCAGATCAAAAGTGAAGGGATTAAAAAAGCATTTACCATGCAAATGGAAGTGAAAAGAAAGCCAGGGTAGCAATACTTATATTGGACAACTATACTTTAAAACAAAGAGTATAACGAGAGGCAAATAACAGACGCTATATAATTATAAAGGGAACAATCCAACAAGAAGATATAACTGTAAATATTTATATGGGAGCACCCAAATACATAAAGCAGTTAATAACAAAAAGAAAGGAAGTCATTGATAATACAGTAAAAGGGTACTTTAACACCTCACTTATATCAATGTACAGGATCATCCAAACAGAAAGTCAACAAGGAAATAGTGGCTTTGAATGACACACTGCACCAGATGGAAATCCAGATATCCATCCAGATATATTCAAAACCTTCTATCCTAAAACAGCAGAAAACACAATTTTTT